GTCTCAAAAAATTTTCAATGAAACTTGTTACATAAATAATGCACCGGAGATAATGCACAGATGTGATCAGTTTTTAGTTGATGCATATTAAATATTAGTTGTAGTTTCCTTTTCCGATGATATCTCAAAAACGAATAATTGCATTAACAATGAATAGTTTTTGGTTGAAATCAGAGCATATTTATTACTTAATTTTCATAAATGGGATCAGTCATGTTACCTAATTAATATGCATAACTGTAATGTATGTTGATGTCGTATGAATATTGTGAAGAATTACCATGAATAATTATGCAATTGGGCATATTATCATAACATAGTTGAAACCCATTGGTCTGAATCCATACCGATGTAAACAAAGTAAAATAAATTTTCAGCTAATCACCCTTTCGAAAATTTACAACATATCTTTTGCGTAAAAAAAAATCAGATATTAAGCATATCAACAAAGCTGTAAATTAAAATTCCCCTCAAAATACAACTCCTAGTAGAAGTGTTTGCAATAATCTAAAATTTCATCTGAGGTCAGTTATTATATTTTCATTCAATGTGCTATTTTCGTTTAAACGTTTCTTTTTTCTGGTTACTTTCCACGTTTAAAAAATATTTTTTGTTGTTGGAGTTTCCCTGCCTCATCCCTGTGACCTTTGACCTTATGTTTGCGCTATGTGTTTGCTAATCTAACGTTCATACTCTTGTTTTGATTATTGAATATCACGTGATGAGTTGACACTCAACACTCACAGTAACAGTACATTGAATTTTTTATTTATTTATACCGCTCCTTTGATAAAGATATTATTATGCTATCTATATTTTTTAGTTTAAGTATATTATATATTTTGATTTTCATTTTTATTAAATCCAAAATTACTCTGAAATTCCTGTATTGTATAATCACCAATACACATATTAATCTATATTTCGTTATCACAATAATATTCGTCCTACAACAGACTTAAATCAAAAATCTAGGACAGATTGTATTTTTGGAATAAATCGATGAGAAAGGTGAGTGACCTGAACCCACACTTGATATGACGTCACATGCATTGCGTCATAGCGAAAATTGTGATGAACCAATATTCGATGCGAGATTGCATGAATGAACGTTTTTATCTAAAACTAATAATAACTGGCTGACAATGTTTTACTCAAGAGATGACTTCAAAATCAAATTCTGAAATAATTATATTAAAAATTTCACCCAATTATATGTTTATCGATCGCAGATCCTCTGTTGCTATCTTAAAAATCAGCCCATATTATCAGACTGTCAGATACATTCCTCAAAAGAGTCAACACACTTTGAAAACAAGTGATTGATGGTCGAAATAGCTCCGCTGTCCTGCAAGAACATTGTGGTAACAAAGTCGAGCAACGCACACCCAAAAGGTATATTAGACTATATGTGAAATTGGTGAAATTGGTTATATGAGATTGCATAACGGTTCAGTATATAGGACAAACAAAACTGGTCCCAGGACGGAACCTTGAGGAACACCACAGTTGAGCACAGAACTTGATGAGGTGTATCCATTAACAATAGCAGACTGGGTCCTGCCAGTGATGTAGTACTCAAACCAAATCAAAACTGGTCCAGATATACCAAATGTATGTTCAAGTCAATGAAGCAAAATGTTGTGATCGACGATGCGGTTTCTGTACTGTGGTGTTTTTGATATGCAGACTCATGAGTATTAAGCAGATGGTTAGTAATAAGATGATCGTTTAGCTGCATCAGGACTACTCTCTCTTTAATTTTTGAAAGAATTGGAAGATTCAATACCGGACGATAATGTTTCAGTTCATTTGCATTCATGATGGTTTCTTGATTAGTAGTTTAACAAGTTTAGACTTGAATGGTGACGGGAATATACCAGTAGATAGGTGAATCATTAATTATTGTTGTTATATATGGTAACATTGCATCCAGGCATTCAATTAACAAGTTAGTTGGTATGATATCGAGATCACAGGATTTAGCTGGAGATTTGAGAATCACGCGTTTCACTAGCTCTTCCAAAATCGGATTAAAATTGTTGAGAGTGTGACCTTGGAAACGTTTTTCGCTATGGACAGAAATATCATGATCTTCGCAATCCAATCTTTCTCTAATCAATTTTACTTTACTGTTGCAGTACTCGAGAAAGCGTTCAGGCAAATCAATTGATGGGTAAATAGATGGCAGAGTAGCAATGAACCTACGTACATACTAAGTAACAGGGGCATTTGAGTTGGTAGTTTTTGTTATTTAATATGACAAAAAAATGCTTCGCATGGCCCTGCACACAACCAAGGTACAATGAGCCTATTTTCAAAACAATTAAATATTCCAATGAATTGTTTCCGCCGTGATGAAAGGGTCGTTACGTATTGTTTTGTTTATACGTAATTATTGAGAATGGTCCGAATTAATTGCTAAACATACATGCACCCTCCACAGATGTATGTACGTACCAAGTGTGGGTTCAGATCACTCACATTATCCATCAATTTTATCCACAATTACAATTCGTCCTGGATTTGGAATTTTCAATTTGGGCCTGTTAGAGGACGAATATTATTATAAATTGGAAATGACTATTAAGATGTGGATTAATGTTTATACAAAAAAAAAGTTAACTGATTTGAGAGTAATTTGGGATTTAATAAAAATCAGAAATCATTAACACCATTGTTAATAATAAATGTAATAGACAGTTTAAAAATACCAAGTACTGTTCGCATACTAGTAATATTGTTGAGTGAGAACCTGTCATCTGATATTCAACAGCGATATAAAAATGAGTATGGTAGTTTGATAATCAAATACATACTGCCATTATAAGGTCAAAGGTCATGATTTCAAAAAAACAATGAAAAGCCATAGTGAAGTACACGCTACTTATATTTACATATTTATGCAACATCAACAAATGAAAACTAAAATTTATTA